GTCAGTAACAGCCATAATTGACATTTGGTAGCATAAACTTGTTCCCTTCAAGCTGCTTAATGAGGCCCTCTTGTATGACAATAGTTTTCTCCAAGGATTTGTACTTCACTCTTCCCTATCAAAGCCCTAGCAAGGTATCAGGAGCTGTGTGCTGTTAGAGGTCCATCTTTCAGATGAGATGTAGAACAGAGGTTCCAACGCCTCGCAGTCATTAGTGACAGCAGGGTTGTTTTTTGTTTCTCCTTTTTTTAATTGTCAGAAGAAGGGTGTTAGCCCTGGTCTCCTTGATCAGCTTCAAATCTAGGAGCTGTCATGGTCTTGTACCAGATATGGACTGGCTACAGAGTTTACTTCTGAGCCAACTACACACCAGATGTGTTCATCATCCTTTAATGCTCTGCCAGCTATGGCTTTCGTTAGTTTAAATAAGATATTTTACACATAGCACACCTAGTAGCTGAACAGTATAATACAGTTTGTCTTTCTATTACAATAATTACATTTTAGTGGCCTAAAATTTCTCATGTAACTACAGCTGAATGCAGCACTGTACTTCCTTCACAACACTGAATGTGTAGGATAATGTCAGTAAATAGTGCTTTGCATTCTACATCAGAGTCTACTTCAGTAGCACTTGACTACCCTGTAAAGCAGTTGTTTTCAAACTTTTGTACTGGCGACCCCTTTTACATAGAAAGCCTCTGAGTGTGACCCCTCCTTATAAATTAAAAGCACTTTTTATATATTTAACATCATTATAAATGCTGGAGGCAAAGTGGGGTTTGGGGTGGAGGCTGACAGCTCACGACCCCCGATGTAAAAAACCTTGTGACCCCTGAGGTCCCGACCCCCAGTTTGAGAACCCCTGCTGTAAAGTACCTTGAGGTTCTGTAAGTTAGGAGATACAGTATTTTTTTACCTATGTATCATGAAGAGAGGGTAGCATCTTCCCAGTTAAAACACCTAACCAGCTCTCTAGGATATGTCTAATGATAGCCACCCCTGCAATGCTCAAAAAAAAAAAGTGATCTTTTCGGCTTCCAACCAAGTGCGTTTTGTGTGTTGCTAAGGGAGAATCTTTTTGGCCAGATTTTGAAAAAAATTGTAAGTCATTTCTGAGATATGAGAGTTTAAAAATTAGGGGTGAAAACTATATCTGGAAAATACTTTTGTTTGTAACACCATTTTTGACAAAAATGATCTGGCCTATAAACTTCAGGTGACATTTATGGAAAAGTTCAGAAACAGACATAGTGCCTTTTATGATGTTTAAGAAGCGGAGCTGCACATTTTGGAAGGTCTCCATGGCTGAATTACAATCAGAATGGTTTGGAGGTCTCCAGAACAGTTGATAATATCTGGCAAATCTTATCTTTTTAACACTTACAGCTTATAGGTATTTGCTAGGTGATGCATAGGTATAAAGTTAAGGCAGTAATGCAGTGGTCTTACAGGTCTTGATGCTTGTAGGCCAATAAATTATTTAGGGCATAAGGTCCAAAAAACTTTAAGCCTAAGTAGCTAATAAAGACCAACCCTAGATCATAAGATATCACAAGACAGAATGTGGTAATGACTAAACAGCTGACCGGTAACCACAAGATGCTAGTTTATGTCAGCTTGAGATATTTTAAGCTAGAGACATCAGCAGATGTCTGACCAGAAGAACGCCATGTAACCTGGTTGTATCCTGGCCTGCATGCTTGGGGAGATGCCAGGGTGATGACCATTGATGATGGTGGTAATAGTGAGGGGAAAGAGGATATCTAAACACTTCAGGTTGGTCTGCAAGGGATGCTCCACTCATTCTGTATTATATCTACCTACCTTGCTTGGATGGACTGTTTGTGATTTTGAGGACTGTGTTAATAAAATTATACAAATACACGTTTTCCCTAAGTGTGAGCGCTGTCATTGCTGTGCACATTGGAGCTCCCAGCTGAACAGTAATTCTGATAATACTTGGCCTAACCTTGGGACAAGAACCTACCAAATTCCAGAGTGCTAACTGCGGAAACTAAATCAGTAATGTAATTCACCTACAATCAATAGATCAGGCAACACACTTGCCAATGGATTTGAATGGTCCAAACAATGTTATGGATTTTGGAAGTTTCTCAGGAGTTCTGGTGGAAAATTACACTGCTCTAGAATCACTAGTGCTGCAGCAGCGAGAGAAATATACCCTCCTCCCAAAGATCCGAGTTAATGCATTTCCTCTTGTGGATATAATTGCCAAAGTCATTACATTAGCAATGAAGAGAATTCCCAGACAGAAGTTATCACATAAGCTGGAGTTAAAATTTCAAATGCAAATCAATAACAGGAGGAGGAATAACATATGCATAAAAGGGTGGGTGTAGGACAAGAATCACAGCTAGTGGACATTTTACAAGGAAACCTGAAATCTAATCGGTTTAAAATAGTGTCAGACACTACACCTGCCTGATTCCCCCTACTGATTTCAGAATTTCCATTTTTGGATAGAAGACCCATACACAGACAAAAATTCTATTTAGATGCTTATACTGCACCGAGCACTGATCTCCAAGCACCTGGGCTACATATGGGCTATCAGGGAGGGCAGACAGACTCGTGCTAGCAAACTAAAAACAGCAGTATGGCTGTCATGGCACAGGTTGTGGCTCGGGCTAGGCACCCAAGCTCAGACCCAGCTGACTGTTGCCACACTGCTATTTTTAGTGTGTTAGCTTGAGCAGAGATAGTGCAAGTCTGTCTGCCCACACCAGGAGGCATTCTCCCAGCTGCAGGGTAGACAGTTCCACAGAGAGCTAAGTAATGCACAGTAAACAAATGAAAACAAGTACTCTCCCCCTTTAATCAGGTGTGGACTGCTATTTCCTGAAGAAAATGCAACTTGTCTCTTGTACATACACCTAAATCGTACTGAGAAATTGTAACTTGCAGTTGCACAACTACATCTATGCAACATTGTGCTCTGGGGGTTCAGAAAAGCAAATTCTATCCTTGAAGTGAATGCCCTTGGAGTCCACTTGATTCATTGCTACCACCGTGGAGATTGCACCTGTGAGTGAGTTTCCGGTCTCCATTTGACAAGTCTAGGTGCAGCCCTACTGAATCACTATCCATTTCCTGCAGCACCTCAGTTTTAACTTAATCTGCCATACCCAATACTACTGCCACAAGCCTATCTGACCAGATCTGAACTTGAGGCAGAGTCTACAAGAAAAAAAAAAAAAAAAAAGAAGACACAAATAAAGCTTGGCAAAGAATAATTTCAGAATTGAATTGGGAAGATTTTTGTTCCACCCTTTCCCGTCACTTACATATTTATCTTGAAGTTTTTTTTCTCCTTAAGAATTGCCTCTGCTAGCTGCTGCTGCCGCCTTTCATCCGTGCCCACCAACTGCTCAGGAAGGGAAAATTAAGAGATGCAACCAGAAGATGGAGGTAAGTCACTGGCTAATGCCCTTCAACTTGAGACGTCCCAGGGCACATTATGAACTACAAGGCTCGCAGAAGACAGTTCACACACAGGCAGCCACCCGTGAGGCAGGATAGGGCAGCCGGTTAACAGCACACAGAACATCTGGGGAGAGAGGTTTCAGCCACCTGGCCCTGGCCCTACCCCTTGGGCCTGTGCCCATCAGACCCCAGGCACGCGTGTCCAGTTGTGCAGGACTCTCAGGCCCCTGGCACTAGGGGAACACCTAGCACGGGTTAAGGAGAACAGAGGCGACCAGGGGGTCAGTGTTGTAGCCCAGCAGAGGAGGTATCCTCAGTAGTGCCGCATCCCCCACGGTCAGGCTGGGGCTCAGGTAGCATCCACAGGGCACACATGGCCCAGGCATCCAGTGACCCTCCCCAGCAGCCCCTGCTCCAAGCGCGTTCCCCGTCCAGGTACTGACCAGACACGATCCTGCAGAGCCAGAGGGGAGGGCACGAGACCTGCCCAGAGGCGCTCTGAGGGGCGGGACAAACAAGGCTCCCCGCCTATCAGCACAGCCCCTGGGCAGGCGGGGCGACTTGTTTGCAATATTAAAATCAGAGCACCAATCAGGACGTAGGGCATGGCCAAAGCCGCCGAAACAGGCGGTTATCTGGAGGGATGCGGCGGTAACGGCAGCGGCTGGTCCTGGGCGCCGCGGGAAGGGGACGGGGCGCGGATTCTTTATGGACCTACCAAGATAACGGCCGAGTTGAGCGTCGGGAGTTTATCGAAAGGCCTCACCAGAGACATCACCGCAGAGTGCCGCGCGGGCTCTGCCGCGCCAGGATTTCAAACCGCCGCCACGTTCTGCGTCATCACCCGTCGGACCGCCCAACGCACGTAGCGTACGCGGACCGAGATCACTGCGCATGTGCGCCTATGCGGGCGGGAGGGAAAAATAGTGTGAGGTTGAGCGGCGCGCGTGCGCCGCTGTGTGTGTGTGTGCGCGCGCGCTTCCTGCGTGCGGCGTGAGGGCCCGCGCGCTCCGTGTGTGCGCAGTTCGCTTTCGTTACCCTACTTCGGTCTCCAGACGCGTGACTGTCTGGCGCGCGCGTCACTCCCCCCGCCCCCCCCCACCGTGCTGCGTGCGCAGCGCAGTCTCGCTGAGGGCGAGTCGGAACCGTGTTACTACGCATGCGGCTTGCGGCGGGCTGCAAGTGTCTGAGGTGCCTGGGTTCCAGCAGCGCGTTAGGGGCGGTTGGCCCAACAGACCCGCTTTGGGGCGTGCAGGGCTCTTCTGGGCCGCGCCTGTCAGTTCCCTGGCCCAGGGTTTTCAGGGGGGGGCAATAAAAGCTGCTGGCCCCGCCTCAATAGGATTCTCCTCGCCCCTGATGCCAGTAGCCTGGCTCGTTAACCCGGGGTGAGCCGGGGCACGTGATGCTGGGGCAGGCTGAGGTCAGGTTCTGCCCCCACAAGCTCACCCCACAGCAGTGGCTCCTGTGCCATGGGGCTGGGCCCAGCTCCCCACTCCAGCCTGTTGGCTTTCGCCACAGCACCAGGTGATGTGTGCGTCTGTGTGCAGGTGAGGCTTTCCCCCACAGTGCCCTGCGCCTTTCCTGGTGCCATTGGGTCGCCTGCCCCAAGTGGGGCTGTGAATGACCAAATAAAATGATCTGGCCGGCCAGATGCAGCCCCCATGGCCACCAGTTGCCATCTCTGAATTAATGTGCTATTGGGACGCCACTGGCATCATGGTGACTCAGTTTGTATGTTCGTAATAATAAATAATACTTGGCAGTTCTATTGGTGCTTTCTAGCTACGTGCTACAAAGCACTTTAATAGAGATGCCTGGTGTTTATACAGATATTAACTAATCACAACAACCTTATGAGGTAGGGTGGGAGGATGAGTATTAGTTCTATTTTATAGAAGGGGAAACAAACACAGACTTATGCTCCTAGAGGGAAATAAGAATGTAAAAAAATGATTAGGGGTTTAGGCAAGAAGGGGAAGGAGTTACACACCAGTGGCGTGCTGTCTGTGTGTACAAGGCTTGCCTTGCCTGCATGCCTGAGCAGCTGTATGTTGTCTAACTGACAGCACTCAGGATGACTGTCCAGTCCTCATGAAGGATGGCATTTGTGAGGATGTGATGTCACTGCATTTGTAGAACAGAATGGCATCCTCTGCACAGCGGGATCTTGACCCAGGTGTGACAGTATATGTGAGGTCTGTGACGGTGCCCTCCCATAAGGCTTTATGGAAATATGCTTATGAGTGTGTATGTATGTGTGTGTATTTGTGTGTGTGTGTATATATATATATATATATATATATGACATAACTGGAATATGTTTTATGCTACATGTGCCATGTAACATATCTCTGTAGAGGTTATGATCTCCTGAATCTATTAATCCTATCTGTATGCATGTATCATTTTTGTATTTGAAGTTATGAATATTGGCTGTATATTTGTCTGATTCTAAGTAGGTTTTAGTGAAGCAGTTGGTCAGTTTCCTGAGAAAAGACTATTCTCAGTAAGTGCCCAATCAAGAAGCCCTTAAGCCAACAATGAACTTGGAGATGCCAATCCACATCTGAGCTTTCCCAGGAATGTGGCTTGGCTGGTAAGGAACTCAGTCATGCATGGACACGTGACTTGCCCAGGTGACTCCAAAGCTCCATTTTATAGCTGGACTTTGCATAGGAGAGAGGAGGGAGTCTCTATCCACAAGACAGAGTCTATCTAAACCCCTGGGAGACCCCTCCATTGGGTCTTCAGCTGGCTAAAGAGAGAGTTTCTCCACCCCTAAAGATACCTGAAAGAAACTGAAACAAAGGACAGTAACTACAGGGGGTGTGAGTGATTGCTGGACCCAGACTAGAAGGAGATTAGTCTGTAAAAGGAAGCTTACTGGAATTGGTGAGGTTTTTCTGTATTTGGTTTGATTAGACATAGACTTGCGTGTTTTATTTTGCTTGGTAATTCACTTCTGTCTGTTACTACTTGGAACTACTTAAATCCTACTTTCTGTATTTAATAAAATCACTTTTTACTTATTAATTAACCCAGAGTATGTATTAATACTTTGGGGGGGGGGAACAGCTGTGCATATCTCTCTGTCAGTGTTATAGAGGGTGAACAGTTTATGAGTTTAACCTGTATATGCAGAGTAAAATGGATTTATTTAGGGTTTGGACCCCATTGGGAGTTGGGCATCTGAGTGTTAAAGACAGGAACACTTCTGTAAGCTGCTTTCAGTTAAGCCTACAGCTGTTAGGGGACGTGGTTCAGACCTGGGTCTGGGTTTGCAGCAGGATAGCAGGTCTAGCTCAAACCTAAGCTGCTAGGGCAGGAAAGTAGGAGCAGAAGTAGTCTTGGCACATCAGTTGGCAACCCCCCAGAGGGTTTCTGTGATCCAACCTGTCACATACCACATGGAGGATGCCATTTTGGACGGCCTAAACATGTGAGTTGTTGCATGCCTTATTAAAACTGTCATAACACGCCACTGCTACGTACAAACTATAAGTCATTTTCTCACTATTAAAATGCAGCTACCTTTAGGATGGAGGTCTCAAACATGCAGCCCGCGGAATTATTTGCTGTGGCCCGCCAATTTCTCCCCCTTCCCCCAGAATTATTTCCCGCCGCCGCCAAGCTCCCCTCACCCACCTGCCCCCAGCGTGCTGCGTCCCCGCTCCTCTGCCTACCTCCAGGCACTTCCCACCACCAAACAACTGTTTGGCGGTGCTTAGCACTTTTCAGGAGGAAGAGGGAAGAGCGGGGATTTGGCGCACTATGGGGAGGAGGAGGAGAAGAGGTTGGGCAGGGGTGGGGATTTGGGGAAGGGGTTGGAATAGGGGCTGAGTTGGGGCGGGGACTTTGGGGAAGAGGTGCGGCGGGGCCTCATGAAAGGGATGGAGTGGGGGCGGGGCCAGGGGCAGGCTTTTGTTTCTTTATATGCAAAGGTGTCAGTGATGCAGCCCCCAGGCAAATGTACTAGTCCTCATGTGGCCCTCATGGTGACTTGAGTTTGAGATCCCTGCTTCGGGATGAAATACAAAAGATATTTAACGGCACACAGCAACACTAATCAACAGTTGAGATGGGAAGTGAATGTTTTCCAGTCCCCTTCCTCACTACCTACAGCACAGAGCCTCAGTACAGTGCTTAGTCATTGTCTGACTACTGACCCAGAGACAAGTGATCCTAGTTGTTTGCCAGCACCAGCAGAGAGGCACAGACTGATGAGAGGATTGAGCCAGGAACTCATTAGGTGTAATCTTCACTCTCACATGGATTCCCTCTGACTTTCAGCAAGTCACTTAACCTGTCTGTGCCTCAGTTCTCCATCAGTAAAATAGGTTTAATGGTCCCTTCCTGCCTCCCAAGACTGCTGAGTGGATTCATTCATTTGTGTTTGTGAAGAGTTTAGAAGATAGAAAAGGACTAACTAAATCTTGCTTCCACATCCTGCAGGATTTCCCCTGGAGCTCTCCTATTCACTTACCACCCAGGCATCCTGCTCCTTTGTTTATAGTATCACTGATTATATAGTATTACTGATATTTATAACTGATCACAGTTAGTTTACAGAGCAATTTGAAGATGTAAAGCAGTATATAAATGTTGTGTTATCACAGTGAATTTGTACTGAGATCATAATCTGAAGAGACACCTGGCAATGTAATGCCCTTGGAGAGGCAGTCAGTCACCCTCCTCGATCCTAAGGTATAAAACTTGCAGCCTGTCTTGCTGCAGCCATTGTTGCTTGACTGCACTGCCTGCAGGTCTATGCAGAGGTAGCCTGAATCTTGTATATAGTTAGCAGCTTTGTTTCATGCTGGGCTTGGGTCACTGCCTGAGCTTTAACTATAACACCTCATAGTATGGAGTATGTGTGTATGCTTGGGGGCAGGGAGAGGCTAAGAAGGCTCGAGGATGATGTCATGGGCTAATGAAGACAGCATGGACAGACTTGCAAGTGATACCTCTCCCTGTCCTCTGCTGAGTGCTCATAGGAGAGGCAGGGTGGTTGTGGTGGGTAATATAGTCTGACATCATATGGCTTGAATGCCTGTTTTGATCCTGACAAAGGCAGACAGCTCAGCTCATTGCCAGCACTTGGCGAATTACAGCTGAAGCAGAAGAGATCAGAGAATATTTATGGTTCCTGTCAGATTCAGTTGGGAGGGTGAATCCAAGACAGGCATGTTCCAAAGGTTCGAGGCAGACAGAAGCATTAAATAACCAGAGGCTGCTAGTTGGGTTGGAGTGAGAAAACAAAGGTTCTTTTATTTGCTGAAGAAATGAAAATGTGCTAAAAGATGCAGCACCAAGTTAATAAGAGAAATTATTCTCCCCACCCCAGCCCACTCCTCTCTTCCCCTGCTCTCTACACTGAAGGCGAGAGCTGTAGCTAGGGATGAGTTCATTGCATGGTATGGGACACACTTACTGGCTTCATCCACTTGTCACTGCAGGCATTTCAAACATCAGTTTTCAATGTGAGAGCTCCAGCGCTGATTAGCCAGTTTATCTTGAATCCACAATTATCTAACTGTCCATAGTAGGCATTTTTACTCTGCTCATTGCCATGGTATCTGAGTACCTTGGCACCATCTGGGAGGGCACTTCTTCAACACACCGCCTTCTAGGTCTGAGAGACCCACCTATCTTTGTGTGAGAGAAGGAGAGATCTGGTAACTGCTAGGCTCCCCACCCAATCTCCATTTTTATTCAGTCTTGGGTCCCCTTAGACACTCCCACTGCACTTGGATCTCATCCCATGAGAGGATAGAGTTAAGAGGAATTCAGTCTCCATTCTTCTTGTTTGGTTTCAGAGTAGCAGCCGTGTTAGTCTGTATTCGCAAAAAGGAGGACTTGTGGCACCGTAGAGACGAACCAATTTATTTGAGCATAAGCTTTCGTGAGCTACAGCTCACTTCGTCGGATGCATAAAGTGGAAAATACAGTGAGATTTATATACGCACAGACCATGAAAAAATGGGTGTTTATCATACACATTGTAAGGAGAGTGATCACTTAAGATGAGCTATTACCAGCAAGAGAGTGGGTTTGGGGGTGAGAAAACCTTTTGAAGTATAATCAAGGTGGGTTTCTTCTTGTTTGCTCATTTCTGCCCTGTCCCCACGTTTTAAGTGAAGATGCTCAACCTCCTTAGCTACCCATGCACTCATTGATTAGGGCACTTCGGAAAGTGCTCCATGATCGTCTGCTATGACTGCCAAATCATAGAATCATAGAATATCAGGGTTGGAAGGGACCTCAGGAGGTCATCTAGTCCAACCCCCTGCTCAAAGCAGGACCAATCCCCAATTAAATCATCCCAGCCAGGGCTTTGTCAAGCCTGACCTTAAAAACTTCAAAGGAAGGAGATTCTACCACCTCCCTAGGTAACGCATTCCAGTGTTTCACCACCCTCTTAGTGAAAAAGTTTTTCCTAATGTCCAACCTAAACCTCCCCCACTGCAACTTGAGACCATTACTCCTTGTCCTGTCCTCTTCTACCACTGAGAATAGTCTAGAGCCATCCTCTTTGGAACCACCTCTCAGGTAGTTGAAAGCAGCTATCAAATCCCCCCTCATTCTTCTCTTCTGCAGACTAAACAATCCCAGTTCCCTCAGCGTCTCCTCATAAGTCATGTGTTCCAGACCCCTAATCATTTTTGTTGCCCTTCGCTGGACTCTCTCCAATTTATCCACATCCTTTTTGTAGTGCGGGGCCCAAAACTGGACACAGTACTCCAGATGAGGCCTCACCAATGTCGAATAGAGGGGAACGATCACGTCCCTCGATCTGCTGGCTACGCCCCTACTTATACATCCCAAAATGCCATTGGCCTTCTTGGCAACAAGGGCACACTGTTGACTCATATCCAGCTTCTCGTCCACTGTCACCCCTAGGTCCTTTTCTGCAGAACTGCTGCCTAGCCATTCGGTCCCTAGTCTGTAGCGGTGCATTGGGTTCTTCCGTCCTAAGTGCAGGACCCTGCACTTATCCTTGTTGAACCTCATTAGATTTCTTTTGGCCCAATCCTCCAATTTGTCTAGGTCCCTCTGTATCCTATCCCTGCCCTCCAGCGTATCTACCACTTCTCCTAGTTTAGTATCATCCGCAAATTTGCTGAGAGTGCAATCCACACCATCCTCCAGATCATTTATGAAGATATTGAACAAAACCGGCCCCAGGACCGACCCTTGGGGCACTCCACTTGATACCGGCTGCCAACTAGACATGGAGCCATTGATCACTACCCGTTGAGCCCGACAATCTAGCCAACTTTCTACCCACCTTATAGTGCATTCACCCAGCCCATACTTCTTTAATTTGCTGACAAGAATACTGTGGGAGACCGTGTCAAAAGCTTTGCTAAAGTCAAGAAACAATACATCCACTGCTTTCCCTTCATCCACAGAACCAGTAATCTCATCATAAAAGGCGATTAGATTAGTCAGGCATGACCTTCCCTTGGTGAATCCATGCTGACTGTTCCTGATCACTTTCCTCTTGTGTAAGTGCTTCAGGATTGATTCCTTGAGGACCTGCTCCATGACTTTTCCAGGGACTGAGGTGAGGCTGACTGGCCTGTAGTTCCCAGGATCCTCCTTCTTCCCTTTTTTAAAGATTGGCACTACATTAGCCTTTTTCCAGTCATCTGGGACTTCCCCTGTTCGCCACGAGTTTTCAAAGATAATGGCCAATGGCTCTGCAATCGCAGCCGCCAATTCCTTTAGCACTCTCGTATGCAACGCGTCCCCCCCTTTTTTTTCCCAGGGACACACACACACACACAAAAACTCACTCTCCTGCTGTGAGGAAAAAAGGGGGGGGTGAGAAAGCCTGGATTTGTGCTGGACATGGCCCACCTTGATTACCATGCACATTGTAGGGAGAG